CTTCAGCGCCACCACACGTCTCCATGTGACACTCAAACTGACTTTCCTCGAGTTGGTGCCAAAGACGGATAAGTCTGCATTCCCAGTGTGCAATTTCGCTATATTTCATTGACTCATAAAGCCTACAAGATGTTTCAAAATAAACATAAAAATACAGTTGAAATTCCTGTATGCGTTTCCTTTTGGGAGAGTATATATACTAGGCACATAAAGAAACTGTGCAAACAAAAATTTAAATCTAAATTTATCAAACATGTGTAGACACATAAGGATTTAAACTCAGAGATTAGTGACATGTATCCAACATGCATGCATGCACGTGCCACGTTCCGTGACGTCAGTAGGTTCGCCCTTGAGGACGTGCAATTCGTTGTTGCACGTGCATTCCGGAAAAGAGAAACAGAGCAAATGAATGCCACACAATATTGTCACTTTGGAAAGCTCAACCCCTGCCCTTGCGATCGTTCAAAAATTAAACGGCTATTGAAACGCATAGCATGCCAAGGATCCACGTCTGCACAACGTCATGAGGCCATTGGGATGGTCCGTGGGGAATGTCTCAACGACAAGTGGCTGCACATTTCCACTGCCACCGGAATACCATTTCTGCACTGGTGAGACGCTACCAGAACACAAATGACGTCATCGATCGGCCACGTTCTGGACGTCCACGTGTAACAACGCCAAGACAGGACATATGGATAAGGGTGACCCATTTTCGCCACAGGTTTCAGACTGCAGTGATGACTGCCCGAACCATCCCAGGACTTCGCCGTATCCACCCCAACACAGTTCGACAACGTTTACGTCATCACGGGATCAGACCACGACGTCCCGCCATACGGCCTATTCTGACACAACGTCATCGACAAGCTCGCCGAATGTGGTGCCGAAATCATGTCCGCAGACCCTTGTTTTGTGGAGAAATGTTGTTTTACAGATTACTTCCAGGTTTAACATTTCCCATAGTGATGGACGTCAACGTGCCTTTAGACGCGTGGGAGAACGTTGTGCACAGGCCTGTGTCTTGGAGGAATCGCTTTGGCGGTGGTTCCGTGATGATTTGGGGTGGGATAACAGCACGCCAAAGAACTCCTTTGGTGATTGATCAGGGCAACTTAACTGGTGTGGGCTACAGGGGATCAGATTCTTCGACCTGTGGCAATTCCTTTTCTGCAACGTCATGACCCTGGGTTAACATTCCAACAGGACAATGCCCGCCCTCATACGGCAAGGGTTGCTATGGATTTCTTGCAACACCACAACGTTGACTTACTGCCTTGGCCTGCAAATTCACCGGATCTCTCCCCGATAGAGCATGTTTGGGACGAGATGGATCGACGTCTACGCCGTCTTCCTCATACGCCAGATAACGTCCTTGACCATGCAACAGAACTTGAGAGAATCTGGCGTGGCATCCCACAAACCTTCCTTGCACGTTTGATAGGCTCTATGCGTCGTCGATGCACTGCTGTTCTCATTGCCGATGGTGGACATACCCGTTGTTAAGCTTGTGACATGGTCGTTTGACCCCTGTCCCGCTTGTGGACTCGTGACGTCATTGTGATTGACTTTTCAATTGAAATTCTCCCGACTTGTTATGGTCTCATGATCCCTCCATTTAAGTTTATATGTACCTTTTGACATTGTTATCGTACTTATCAACTGGGATTCTATTTTGACAATGCACAGTTTCTTATTTGGCTAATATATAAGAAACAGATTGGCTAGGTCCATCGCTGTTTATATGTAAATCTTGTTGTGAAATACCCGTGGTAATACACCACTATGCATGTATGTTAGTTACACAGAGACAATATGGTGCACGTAACCTTGTCGGATTGGACGATATTTATATCCTGATATCCTGATGATATTGATATCCTGGTGTACAACACCAATTTGGTGCGGGCTGGTCGCATAGTCAGTAACGAACACAAACAACACAAGTAGTGCACACGGATAACACCTCAGTGAGACTACAGAGCACTGGATAACAGAGATGATAACATCGATTCTTCCTGCTGTTATCATTGCAGGTAAATCACAGAATATACGTGTCCATATAATTCCATCTATATATTACCATGTTTGTTTAATTATCAAATTTCAGTTTTAACAAATTCCCTGCTGGTTAAGTTCGATAGAAGATTTCTCCCACAACGAAACGTTAATGGACTTTGCTACACTGTAATTTCGAACTAATATCCTTCCATGAATGATATCACTAATATCCTTCAATAACGTATTGCAGGATATTCCTGCCTGATATTAACATTAATCATCATGTCCTGGGGGTATTTTGAATATATGCTATGCACATTGAAAGTATGAATAAGGCCTTCGCAGTATAAGCAATCTGAACACAAATTTCAGTGATTTGCTTCCGTCTCCGCCCTTTAACTCATGTATTTCGTAACTTTCCTCTGACGACCTTGTCGTGTCCTTGCCCTCACGAAAGTTTTAACCAAGTTCATATCTCAATGTTTATCTTTCTCTTATTCCCGACTTTCTGTCTCCATTATGTGTTTAACCGTTCTTAGTCATGAGCCAAAGGTTATCAGTTCTGAGTCATACAGCTAAAGGGGCGGTGGGGTAGTCCAGTGGTTACGGCGTTCGCTCGTCACGCCGAAGACCCACATAGGTACAATGTGTGAAGCCCATTTCTGGTGTCCCCGCCATGATATTGCTGGAATATTGCTAAAAGCGGCGTAAAACTAAACCCCACTCACTCACTCCTCATACTGGTAATCGAAATACGGAATCTGCTGTAATTCTCTTAATGCTTTAGGGATGTATTTTCACCTTATAACATATGTCACAAGAGATGAATATCCTTTCAACCAACGTCGATTATATTATATGCTCGTAGAAACGAATCAGGAAAATTTTTCACCCACAGTGCAATACAAAGCACGACTAGAATCCCGAAAGAGTTAAGGAACACTTACACTTTCGTGTGTTCCCTTATTTGTTTCCATGAGTATAGTGCCACTACAATAACCATGTTAGCGAGTTTCACCAAAATGGTAATTAAAACATTATACTCGGACGTGCTGACCTTTTGACACAACACACTTCACTTGCAGGTCGCGTTTTCGTTTTCAGATTTATTGCTTCTGTTGAGACAGGCGCAAGTTATTCAAGTAAATAGATATTTAAATTAATGTTAAAAAGTACTATGTTTACCGGTATTGTGACAAAGTAAGACACTAGGAGTCATGTTCACTTCCCAACTCTGGTATACATTGTGCTGGAACCGTCTGCAAATGTAAATACCTAACAGATGCTTTTCCCTTCAATACCAAACTGGATGTCCTGTTAATATTAAATTTAAAAAGACATTTTGTTGAAAATACGAGAACAACCTCTTTTTTGAAAACAGGATTTTGAAACTGGATTCGTTTCATCCTATGTTCAATATGTGATTTCGGGAATACTTTATATTAAATTCATTTGCAATCAGTCGAATTTGGGGATAAAATTCAATTTAACCTATTTTTAACCAATCCACATAACTGGCTCGCTTCTGTTTAATCCCAACCAACTTCCCGTATCAATTTCGATTTATTCCTTGTTGGTTCTGAGAAATCTTATCAGTATCCTCTGATTCAAGCTCACGTTAAAATATATACTTTGTCTTCATGTTTGATGGTTAACAATCATTCTCTAATACCTAGTTCAGTACAGACATGATCCGTCGCAGATCGATGCTCATGTTGTTGATCACTGGATTGTCTGGTCCAGACTCGATTATTTACAGACCGCCGCCATATAGCTAGAATATTGCTGAGTGCGGCGTTAAACTCAACTGACTCATTCACTCCACATGATCCGTGTCAGGAAAACTAATAATATCGTCAACGCGTGGTGTACGCGTCAACTGGGGAATTAGCTCATAATTAAGATGAAGTGTGCGTTGATGAAGACGAAGAGCATAGTTGAGTTCAAACGTCTTTGAGTACATGACAAACAAATACACAAGACATACATAAGGTGAGCGGGGTACCTGCTCAACCCAGGAGCGTTTCCAACGAGCGGCATTATCCTGCTCGTGGTCGTCCCAACGCAGACAGTCGGAATACCGAACTCGTACTCTTTCACTGTCTACATGTGAGCATACTAAGTATATATACAGTTTTTGACAACAATGGTCAGGCGACGACTCATAAATGGACAGACAGAAAAAACAATAGTACTTCCTTGACCAGTTGATGTGATGGCAGACACTCTTTTGGACTCCCTTAATGTCGCTAATGTGGGAGACAGCTCATCTGACCGGAAGTGAGACGTTTGACTGACGCTGTGGCTGCAGCTCTGGTTGAAGAAGTTCCACCACCACCAAGGGGCAATGGGCATGGACACTGTGTTATGTTTGGATGTGTCAGACAGCATTGGGCTGGAAGGCCTAGAGGAAGTCAAACAGATTGCCAACAACTTTGAAGATGGAATTGAGGACACAGCTGCGCAGCACGGAGTAGAGGAGAATGTAGGTGTGGTATCATTGGGAGGAGGAGCCAAGGTTGTCCAGCAGCTCACCAACGACTACGGAGCTGTCAGAGATGCTATCATGTGTTGGTTAAGTCCCATTCGGGATTCGAACACAAACTGAAATACCGAATCATTTGACCACTTCTAAATAGCATTTTAGAAGTTGTTTAGCAATGGTGTTGTGTTAACGTACACTTGGCAGAAATGTACACAAAGTACGTGATCAAATGTACCATTTTTAGATCTTCACTTATGTGGAAGCCTTGGTGGCTGAGTGGGTTAGATCGCTGGCGGTGTTTGCTGGTGAATTTTGTGCCTCACTCTGATCTTTGGCTCCAAACCCAGATGGGACTCAAAACCAAAAGTACCTGAAATTATACTTTAGGAAGATGTAATCCCACAACATAACATTTGTTGAGGTGTAGATAGTATACATCATGTAATGTACAACCATTGGAAGAGCTGGGAGGAATATTTTAAATGATTTAAGTTCAAACAAAACAAAATACCGACATGTTATAGGGAAGTCAAGTATATGGTCTTGGCAAAGTGGCCCACTTGTTGCACACAGACAAAGTGCCTTCCAGTATCTGACAGCACCTGTTGTTTCCCAACACATTCTCTCTACACAGACTGAGTGTGTTGGATCAGAATGAACCTCCTCTTGAGTGGAATAGTACTTGCAGCCGGTAAGACCTATCCAATCTCGGTTATTTCGCTCCGTCATACTAAAAAGACGTTAACAGATGGTACAGTTACTCATTGTTGTACTGCCTGGTGCTCGCCATTGTGGGAGTGAGAAGAGGCCCTCACGGAAATAGTTTACTGTCAGAGTGGAGTGTCCACGTAAAGTTTGATGTCTCGGTCTGCTAGCTCTATAACACAGACATTGGTCCGGACAGGTATAAGCAGATGCACGCACGCATACGCACGCACGCTCGCACAGGCGCAAGCATATACGTGTTTTGCCGATCTCTATATAACTTCAATAATTTATGCCGCAACGTTAAACCAGCGTGAAAAGCCAGAAATGGGCCTCATGTGGGGATTCGAACCCGGATCTTCGGCGTGACGAGCGAACGTTTTACCACTAGGCTCCCCGCCGCCCCACCGGGTCAGAATTGATCTTCAGCAACCCATGCTTGTCGTAAGCGGCGACTAACGGGATCGGGTTGTCAGGCTCTCTGACTTGGTTGACACATGTCATCGTATCCCAGTTGCGTAGATCGATGCTCATGCTGTTAATCACTGCCTTGTCTGGTCTAGACAGGATTATTTACAAACCGCCGCCATTTAGCTGGAATATTGTTGAGTGCGGCGTTCAACTAAACTCACTCACTCACCTACCGCCCCTCCGCCGAGATAAGATAAGGTTACACATCCCCCACCTGGCTGGAAGGCTTCCTTCGAATCATATGCTGTAAATCGGTTACTGTTAAGATAATTTGTTAAGTAGCTATTAAGACAGCACTGAACTCAGTTGTCCGTTCTCCAACAGCTGCAGCTGTGGTCTGTGGATGGATCTGTACGGAGCGTTTTATCTCCCAGTGCACCATGCACGCCACGCGGGATTTCTATTATGCGGGCAAGAGCATGACCAAGTTATGTACGTGAGTAGATCATTCAGAATCCGTTCGCCAACTTTACTTAGCATAGATGAAGAATAATCATTTGATCACTATTGGCATGAAGATCGGTCATGCCAGTGGCAAAGGTAACATAAGGAGTTCTTACTTGGTTGCCCATGTACTTATTGTATTATCAATATTTAAATTATTTTGCTACCAGGTATTGTTATATGCATACAGCTTTTGCTTAATGTATCGTGGTGTGCTTATAATTTTGATATGACATACACTTGTAAACTCACTCACTCACCTAATAACCCACCAACCAATAACACTCACTCATTCACTGTATCCTACTATAGAGGTTGTTGCAGTTCCTAGACACCGCCTCACCTAACTCTACCATTCCTGCACACGCGCACATGCACACGCACACATGCACACGCAAAGTTGCATGCATGCAGGCAGGCACAATACCATATACACACGCACGCACGAACCCAACACACATACACAAACGCATCCACATACACACATACATACATACACATGCATGTACATCCATACGCACGTACGCACATACGCAAACATGCACACTCGCGTTAAAGTTCCTCTCTAATGCAATAATCCTCGACACGATTTCCCCTCTTCCCACTTCTCGCTAGTGCCGGAGAGACGTATCTGAAGTGTCTCAACTCCGACGTCAGTTGCAGCTCCTCCCACTACTACTTCGACGCCATCAGAATCCTCAACAGCAGGGTCACCATCGATGACTGTAAGTTGACCTATTTCTGTGGATGGGGCGGTAACTTTAATAGCTGTATATACCAATACGTCGTTGTGTCAAGTGTATGTACTTGTACGTCATTGCTCCTTATTGTGGACGAGTACGTCATGCGCCCACCTCACTTAAAAACTGCTTTATATCATCATCCAAATTAAACAGTACGTCTTGCGCCCACCTAACGTAAGAATACTTAAAGGCACCATATCATTTCATGTGTACGTCATAATGCTGTCCCTCCCAGTTTGATACACCGTATGTTATAACGTCAACCTCCTGCTACAATACTTCCTTACACCCCATCTGTTCACGGATACGTCATGATGCAACTCTGCTGAAAAGCTGCGTCATATCATCACTCCAGTGTCAGAATACGTCATAACGCCATCCCGGACTTCAGTACGTCATGACACATCGCAGCGTATGAATACACCATATCGCAACTTCGGCGTAAGACAACTCCTTAACAATGTTCCAGCCCAACTCACACGTGTGTCAGGGAGAGGTGGGGTAGCCCAGTGGTTAAAACGTTGGCTCGTCACGCCGAAGACCCGGGTTCGATTCCCCACATGGGTACAATGTGTGAAGCCCAATTCTGGCGTTCCCCGCCGTGATATTGCTGGAATATTGCTAAAAGCGGCGTAAAACTAAACTCACTCGCTCACCCGTTGTGTTAGTCCCACACGTATCCCCATGACAACCGTCACTAGTATGATGGCCTAACTTTGGTTGTTGGCGACCTACAGCCCATTTTAATAATGTACAGTTATGACGTGTCATAGCTTAAGGTTCGATACTAGTTTCCATACGCTAGCTGTTTTAATGTCCTTTGTCGACAGGTTTGCAGTCTGTAACTTTCTGTTCTATGAAATCATAACTTGTTTTGTCACTACTAAAACTCTTCAATAACTAACTCTCCATGACTCCAGCACAAAGATGAATTTTCTGTTTATTTTCAGGCCCTGGCCTTCTCAACCTGACCGTCAGTTATCCGCCATCTATAATTGGCTGACCACAATACATCAACTGTCTTAAACATAATTGTAATCATGAGGGGTTTGTTTTATTTCGAAGTGACTTCGTTAACGAGAGCAGTCGGCAATATGAGCTATACCATTGACTTCTGAAGTCAGCATGATCGGAATGTTCTAAAACAATATATCATATTTTCTACATGGCACATGCACACAGGGGCGGTGGGGTAGCCTAGTAGTTAAAGCGTCACGCCGAAGACCCGGGTTGATTCCCCACATGGTTACAATGTGTGAAGTCCATTTCAGGTGTCCCCGCCGTAATATTGCTAGGATATTGCTAAAGTCGGCGTAAAACAAACACTCACTCACTCACATACAGACACGTGGAGCCCTGATGGCTCAATCGTCTGAGGCTGCGCTATTCGTTGTGCAGGGTAGCATCCCATGGAGGCACCAGGAACCAACGATCGTGGGATCGACCACTGATTATCTTTCTAGTTTTGTCAGCTCCATATAACTGTTTTTGACCAAAGTGGTAAAGACCTGAGACCTGCATCATATCGGGTCTTTACACCATGGAATGACGAGAATACCGCTCAACGTCACCGCGTTTATAGGTGGAGGCTGATCAGCCGTTCCTAAAACTATAAAGTTCTCTTTACAGTATCTTTCTGAATTCTACTAAATCCAGTCCTACATATGACTCTGTTTACAGAGATTTCTAAAGGATATGGAAAAGGTTTTGTCTCTTCTATTTAATCCTCCTTATAGCGAACTCTACATTAAAATGTATGCATCACTTATTCCGATACTTGGATTAAGAAAATATTAACAATCTGATACGTCTATAGCTACACTTAGCTTCTCTCTTCTCCACTATGACAGTTTGTAAAACCAGAGGGTGACCTAATATTAAGTAAAGAAAGAAATGTGAAACTACTCATATTTATCAACATGAATATAATGACTTTAGAAACACAGATGTTGCTTACAAGTATATCTTAACAGATGGATCCAAGCATTGCGACGCAGTTGCTCGTACCGCTGTAATTGAACCCAGAGCAAGATTACCCTCGCTAAAGTGAAAAGGATATTATACAGATGTTCTGAGACTTATCGTTAAGAATTCTACATAGTTTTCAAAAGATATCCACGCCGTACATGTACTCTACCCTGACTAAGTTAGGAATCACATCACAATTGTTTTATCTCCGTCTTTGTTATATAGTCATCATAGATATAAATCATCTTGTCTGTTCTAGGGGTTTACATGGTTTAAGTTAAGACAAAACAAAATACCGACATGTTATAGGGAAGTCAAGTATATGGTCTTGGCAAAGTGACCCACTTGTTGCACCCAGACAAAGTGCCTTCCAGTATCTGACAGCACCTGTTGTTTCCCAACACATTCTATCTACATGGACTGAGTGTGTTGGATCAGAATGAACCTCCTCTTGAGTGGAATAGTGCTTGCAGCCGGTAAGACCTATCCAATATCGGTTATTTCGCTCCGTCATACTAACAAGACGTTAACAGATGGTACAGTTACTCATTGTTGTACGGCCTGGTGCTCGCCATTGTGGGAGTGGGAAGAGGCCCTCACGGAAACAGTTAACTGTCTGAGTGGAGTGTCTGCTTTAAGCTTGGTATATCGGTGTGCTAGTACTATAACACAGACATTGGTCCGGACAAGTACGGGCAGATGCAGGCACGCACGCACGCACGCACGCACGCACGCACGCACGCACGCTCGCACACTAGTGTTGGGATTTGGTTGAAATTTCACAATTGATGATTGCTTCGTTACCAACGAACAATCATCGAAAAAAATTGGTTATCGTCATTTTTCAGATTTTCCTATCCAGATTGTTATTGCAGATATGTATAACATAATGCAACTTGCTACTTTAAAGTGATGACTAATATATCATGAACATAAACTTCCTTGAGTCTTAGAGAAATATTCAGTCATGACTTTTCAGTTAGTGAAGTGGGTTTTCTAAGAATTAAACTAGTTTTCAGACCCTGACAACTTCGAAGATATGTTCCATCGTCAAGCGTTTCAAAGTCGTCTGTGTTCGATTATGAGAAAATGTGATCGATTGCTTGGTCGTTTGGTCACTTCGACCAATCTTCGATTATTTCAATTAATCGGAACACCACTAACGCACACACGCGCAAACACACGTGCACATCACTTTATTAGTTCAATACTCTATACCGTAACGTCAAACAAGCGGGAGAAGCCAGAAATCCTCATTGTACCCATGTGGGGATTCGAACCCAGGTCTTTAGCGTGACGAGCGAACGCTTTACCTACGAGGCTTCTCGCCATCTCGCCACCGAGATGTGATAAGGTAAAATATCCTCCACTTGGCTGGAAGGCTTCCTTCGATTCACATGCTGTAAATCGGTTATTGTTGAGATAATTGTTAAGTAGCTCAGTTGTCCGTTCTCCAACAGCTGCAGCTGTGGTCTATGGAGGGACCTGTTTCCAGAGTGATGTCTTCCAATGCACCATGCACGCCACGCGGGAGTTTCTATTATGCGGGCAAAAGCATGACCAAGTTATGTGCGTGAGTAGATCATTCTGAATCAGTGCATGATTGTAATTTCTTAACAATAAGTGCGTCAACTTTGTTTAGCATGGATGGAGATCATTTGGTCACTATTGACATGTATGATCGGCCATGCCAGTACCAAAGGTACATGTGCCATAAGACATCTGTGACATCTTCTATTGTCCATATTAAAATTATTTTGCTACCAGGTATTGGTAGGCGAATACAGCTTACGTCTTATTGTACCGTGCTGTGCTTATAATTACGATATGACATAAGAATGTTACACTCACTCACTCACTCACTCACCCACCCACGCGCTCACTCACTCACTTACTCACCCACCCACGCGCTCACTCACTCACTCACTCACTCAGCGAATACATACCCTCCCGTTCAACAGAATCTATTCCTGAGAATAATCCCTTTGGGACGGTCAATGACACAACAACATATGGTATGGATTTACAACTTCTTTAATATTTACAACACGACGTTTCTGGACTACTTCTTGCCCCTTCATCAGGTGAATGACAGACTCTGATAAAGCAGAATATATAGTGTGTACAGGAAGCCAGTGAGATGCTATTATTGGTTGAGATGTACAGAGATTAAGTGATGTGTTTAGATAGATGTTTATACAGTGGACGTACAGAATGTTTATACAGTGTATAGGATTGGATATACATGATAGGATGCTGGAAGCCACTTGTGAAAACAATGTTTAGGAAAACACTTATAATATATAAAAATACACACACATCAAAGCATGTACAGAGATTTAAGGGAACAAGGGAAACCATGTACATTGTAAACATAAATCTAATCCATACCATATGTTGTTGTGTTACATCCCAACTTCTAAATGCCCATCAAGCATCTGAACGGTCAATGAGTTAATCTAAAATGTGACTTAGCGTTTGACTATTTTGAACATTGAACTCAAAGCCGATCTGTACCATGCGTAAGGAGACCACGAACCTAGTCTCACACAGGTTTATTCGGGGTGGTTATCGTAATAACATCCTCATAGACATGATGGGAAACGGAGTACTCATCACTGTATCAGAAGCTGTTGCTGTTCCTCAACAACTCCTCCACTAAGTCTGCTATTCCTGACTTGTACGTGCAGTCGCACACACACGCGCACGCACGCACGCACACACAATAACAAATATACTCACATACGCACCAACGCATACGCAAACGAATCCGCATACATACACACGCATTTACTAACACGACCGCACACATATACATTCATACGCACGTATGCGATTTCCCCTTTTCTCAAACGCAAACATGCACACATGCATGCGTTAATGTACCTCTCTATGTAAGTGTAATAATCTTCAACGCGATTTCCCCTCTTCTTATACGCAAACATGCACACATGCGTTAATGTACCTCTCTGTGTAAGTGTGATAATCCTCAACGCGATTTCCCCTCTTCCCATTTCCCGCTAGTGCCGGAGAGACGTATCTTAAGTGTCTCAACTCCCTCGTCAGCTGCAGCTCCTCCCCACTACTACTTCGACGCCATCAGAATCCTCAACAGCAGGGTCACCATCGATGACTGTAAGTTGACCTATGTCTGTTGATGGAGCGGTAACTTTAATAGCTGTATATAACAATACGTCGTTGTGCCAATTGTACGTAATTGTACGTCATTGCTCCTCATTGTGGACGAGTACGTCATGCGCCCACCTCACTGTAAAACTGCTTCATATGATCATCCAAATTTAACAGTACGTCATGCGCCCACCTCACTGTAAAACTGCTTCATATATCATCCAAATTTAACAGTACGTCATGCGCCCACCCCACTTAAAAACTGCTTCATATCATCATCCAAATTTAACAGTACTTCATGACGCCAACCTTACGAAAGAATACTTCATGCCATCATATCATTTCATGAGTACGTCATAATGCTGTCCAAGTTGTAAACCTTCGTCACATCACAATCCCAAGTTGATACACTGTATGTCATGACGCAAACCTACAGTTAGAATACTAGTACTTCCTCACACCCCATCAGTTCACGGATGTATGTCATGACGCAAACCTACAGTTAGAATACTTCCTCACACCCCATCAGTTCACGGATGTACGTCATGACGCAAACCGGCAGAGTTTTACTCTACGCGCATACACTAGGCGCCAAAAGAAACGTTACCCTCCTACCTTTATGAATTACTGAAAAACTTACTGATATGTTAGAAGGTTTTAGTTTACAAGAAAGCTTAACAACACAGCTTAATGCAAATCACGAAAAACAATTCTCAAATGCATTCATATTTAGGTGAAATGCAGCTTTTTCAGAAGAGTTAAATTGTCCTATATTCGTCCATGCCGAAATAAACCAATAATAGTGATTTTGATGTCCAAAAGAAAGGTTGAAATAAAATTCTGCTTTGGGACAAAGATAAACCATTTAAAGTCACCATTTTTAAACTATTAAAACAAGAAACAACTGTTGTAGATTTTGTTTTAAATTGTAAAATAATCATTTCTATGATTTCAGTCTTTTAAAACATTTTCTGCTGATTTGCATTAGTGAAAACAAGTAAAACGTGTCTTTGATATTGTGAAAAAATGTTTAGGAACATCTAAAAATATCTTTGTTAACATTTTTGCTTGGAAAGTCACATTTTTCCATTTTCTGTTTACACATAGAAATATTAATCGGCAAATCGCAGCAATATTCAAGCAGTATTTACATCCATTTCACATGTAGAATGATTCTATAGGGTATAAATTAAAGAAAAAACTAGAAGACATGATCTGATACACAAGTACGAGAAATATGCCACGATTAACAGCTGAAGGGAGAGAAAGAGCCATTGGGATGGTGCAGATGGGGTCGACTTACAATGCTGTTGCCAACGCCCTCGGATGCCACCGTATCACGGTTCTAAGACTTATTCAGGGCTTCAGACAGACTGGGGTCACCGTAGACAGACCAAGAAGTCGTCCACGCATCACAACGCCAGCTGAAGATAGGTAGCTCCGTCATTAAGGAAGGAGGGTAACGTTTCTTTTGGCGTCCAGTACGCACAAATGTAGAGAATGGACGCAGAAAAAAAGTCACTGCGTGCAGAGGGACGCACAAAATATTCATTGTACCCACAACACATCTATGACTTTGCGAAGTGTTTGGTTGTTTCTTTCAGAGCAGTTACGTGCATCATTTCACCCATCCATTCACATGAATGATTTATTAAAGGCTCCAAAGAAAGTATCAAAATGTACAGTGTTCTACACGGTTACTTCACAGGACCCTTGTAATGCCTATAAGAACCCTTAAAACTAATAATTAGGGTCCCTGGGACCTCTGTGCATGTGAGTCGTGGTAACACCCTGCCACCCCATTGAAAAACTGCGTCTTTTCACCACCCCAGTGTTAGAATACGCCATATGGCCATCCCGTACTTGAGTACGTCACGACACATCTCACTCACTCACTCAGTCAGTCACGAAACCTTTACAAAGATGAATTTTCTGTTTATTTTCAGGCCCCGGCCTTCTCAACCTGACCGTCAGTTATCCGCCATCTATAATTGGCTGACCACAATACATCAACTGTCTTAAACAAATTTGTAATAATGAGGGGTTTGTTTTATTTCGAAGTGACTTCGTTAACGAGAGCAGTCGGCAATATGAGCTATACCATTGACATCTGAAGTCAGCATGATCGGAATGTTCTAAAACAATATATCATATTTTCTACATGGCATATGCACACAGGGGTGGTGGGGTAGCCTAGTGGTTAAAGCGTTCGTTCGTCACGCCGATGACCCAGGTTCGATTCCCCATTGTGTTTACAATTCTGTACTCACTCACTCACTCAACCAACCAACCAAAGCGGCGTTGAACCCAACTCACGCACTTAGTAACATAACGAAGAGACAATAGGGACATTAATCAGCTTGTTGAAGTTTGTAAATACATGTAACCTAAATAATGAGTGAGAACAAATATTGTTAAACCCAAAGCTATGATTGAGCTAAGAACAAGATTTGACTCCAAATCTGGGCCACCGTGTCTCAACATTCGTTCACAGAAAATATCGTATAACATACAAAATATTGGTTTTATCACAGTAGAAAGGTCTAAGGCGATTCCCCTCAAAGTTTTCACAAGTAATTATTTCCATGTCACTGGACATTCTGGAATGGCTCATTGAACATTCTGACCAATACGACATAGTGTTTTGCTGCTTACCGCGATGGAATCATTGGTGATTCAATGGCAGAGGCTTCAGCAAAGTCAACAGTAAACAAATCTAGTTCCGGTTTCGTTTTTTATGTTTTGTGTCTTGGTTTGTCGGTGCCATACCCATACTCATGGGTTTCAGCCGGCCAAGACCGCTTCTGTGGTGTAGTGGTTAGAGCGTCTGCCAGGAGAACGGAAGGTCGCGGGTTTGATCCCCGACCGCGTCATACCAAAAGACGTTAAAATATGGTACTTGTTGGTCCCTGCCTGGCGCTCGGCATTAATGAGTACAACAAGGACTGGTCGGCTCGGAGTCAGTATATTGTGTCTGAGTGGGGTATCCATGCTTCACTGCGGCATGGTTTCCCAGTGGGCTGGCACTATAAAACCAGCTTCAGTCTGGGCTAGTACAAGCAGCCGCACATACACACACACGCGCATGCACGTCGCGAAATATTCTCAAGCACGACGTTAAATCCAATTTCACCTCACCTCAGCCGGCCAAATGTCTCAGACATCCGATTCTTTTGTGGTTTCCTCCATCAAGGTACCACGCTGTGACATAATTGAACTACTGTGCAAAGCGGTGTAATATCCTACTCACCCACTTCTCCATGCGGCATACAAGAAAACTGAAGCAAATGTATCGTCCTTAGCTAATTAACTTCAAAACATACCACATCAGGAGCGGCGGGTCTACCCATATTTTAGGAGCGCATCTATTAGGGTGTGAACTGTTTTGCAAGGTTCATTTCTCAGTTAAGGGTTAGTCACGTACATGTGATTGGTTTGTTGGTTGTTGCTTAACGCCGCACTCACCAATATTCCAACTATGGCGTCAGTGTGCAAATAATCGAGTTTGGACCAGACAATCCAGTGATCAACAGCATGAGCATCAATCTACGCAATTGGGATATGATGTCTTGTGTCAAGCAAGTAAGCAAGTCTGACCACCCGATCCCGTTAGTCGCCTCTTACGAAAAGCCTGGATTACTAAAAACTAATTCTAACACGAATCTTCTTGGGTCCATTTACATTTGAAGGTGTGTGAGTCACGGTACCTGAGTTGGGTTATCTTTTATGTCTACTGTTGTTTGAAAGTCTGATTTAAAGTAGTTTAAGTGCACATGTGGTCTAAACAAAAGAACAACAGAAACCACACCCGCACTTGATGTTAATCATTATATGCCTGAAGTGTGCGATTATATTACATCGACAAAATGAACGGTAGTGTTTCTCAACTAGCACTCATAAAATACTTCTACATGTTGGTATTTTATAACTTATGATTTGATCTCAAACGTTTCAAATCTTAGACATGTACCATGCTTTTCGCCACAAGTTTCAATTAATTCAAATGCGAAAGGGGTCGTGTGGTTGCAAATTCATTTTTACCTGAGTTACCCTTATACCCATAAATGTTTACCCAGCATAACCTAGCAACAGCTTACCTGTACTAACTATTGGAATGAGTGATGTTTAAATAGACAAAGTCAAATTTACCAATAGTTCATTCATTGCTTATGTACACCTACAGTAGCCGCTCGGTTCCTTGCTAGTGATATATTATTTTATTATTTTGTTTTTTTAAAAACGTGCTGTTTTCTTTAAAATGTTATGGATGTAAATTTGTTCAATATGAGTGTAATAGTGCAGGCTTTACTTTAGATTTTCACACATTCACATGCAACATTTGAAACATTTGATACCTTGGATGTGGCTGACAGGGGCTTAAAACAACCGATATTTGGAAGATTGGTGGGCGAGCTGTCTAAGGTGCCAGGCTAGTGATCCAGCGAGCTTGGAGGTGCCGGGATCGAGCCGACCTGTGACCGGGTGTAAAAACCTTGGAGTCATCTTTGTGTGCAGACTCTTTCAGTGTTGTCACAATCCCTAGTGTACAGTACACAACCCTGTGCACATAAAAGAACCCACGAAACCGTTGGTATATGACCAGATGGTGGCCACATGTATACGTGCAAACAGCTGGTAGCGGGTACAGCAACGTGTAATAAACTTAGACAAAGTACTGTGACTATGTGTCCTAGTCCACCCAGCTGTGACGGGGTACATCGTAAGGGTGGGAAAGCCGCAATAACTCGGTGCTCCTTGTGGCTGCAAGAGTTGTATGATCCCCAGGGAGTTGAGATTGATAATAAGATGTGCCGTTGAGATAGACATTCAATGTTCGAGGGAAAAATACCAGCGCCTTGAGCATGCACTAGTGCGTGGATATGTGCGCTATATAAATATCCAATAATAATAATAACAAAATGACAAATAATCTTCAAGATTACTAGATGAGTGAGTTTAGTTTTACGCCGCACTCAGCAATATTCCAGCTATATGGGGGCCCATTTTCAATAAGCCATATTAACAGCTATAAAGTATATAATTAACCAATCACCCTCTCACCTCATCAATATTTACCATTATCTGGAACAATGGATCGAAAAATGCAAAACACGTGCAAACGATCAGTGACAGATTTATCTGACAAGAATATGTCTCAGTAGTGTGTTTAGAGGTACTCCAATGGAGTGGGTTGTTGCTATGCTATCGTGCCTATGAATCGGTACAAGCTTAAGTCTGGGAGAGAGAACTCTAATAGTGTTGAATGGTGGTAAAAACTAAATTTAAAACATAAAACTGCAAGAAGTGGACAGAATTGTCCCAGATAAGTGTGATACGAACACCATGTGTTCACGGGATGACCAATAGGTGGAGGTTATGATCTAGAGGTGCGTATATTGATAGATTTTATGTTCGCATCATTGTATGGTTTGATTAGCACATAACTTTTAAAGTATTACGGGCGCTTCGTTTAATTGGTGTATTGGTTTACGTTGGTGACGGCGGATATAACGAATAAGATAAAGATGTGTTCATTATTTGTTTTCACTTTCATTCATCAGTTGATCCCCAGCTTCAAATGTCTTATTACTGCATTGTGATGTCAAACCCAGTAACGACATATCGACATATCAGCGGTACTGTAATATTCACTCTATTCCAAAAGTATGTCATCTGTACCCTCCATCTGAACACGTTCTCCATACATACCCTCTGTACCAGGCATGTGTACAGACCATATTTACTCACCAACTGACCACACACATAGTATACATGTATACACACCATCTGTACACGTCATCAGAACACACCGTCTTTTCACACCATGTATACACACACCGTCTGTACTCAGATATGTACTCAGATAGTTTCTGTACACGGTAGCTGGTCAAGTAGACCGCCTTTGTAGTGGTTAGAGCTGCCCATACGCCAGAGCCTGGCGCTCGATATTAATGGGTACAACAAGGACTGGTCGGCTCGGAGTCAGTGTAATGTGTCTGAGTGGGGTATTCATGCTTCACTGCGGCATGGTATCTCAGTGGACTGGCACTATAAAACCAACTTCAGTCTGGGCTAGAACAAGCAGCCGCACATTCACATACACACGCATGCACGTCGTCATATGAGCGAAATATTCTCAAGCACGACGTTAAACCCAAGTTCACCTCACCTCACCTTATAATTAACTGTAAAAGGCATAACAAAGTCATGATTGTATGTGCGCTTTAGATAACCTAATTATTTTACACCCTTAAACATTTACGTGCGCTTCGTTTAGTTCTCGAAACTGTTCACTCTATTCTAAATGACCCGAAGGGGGAAAATGTGTATTACGCTTAGTTAATTATTGCCAACCATATCTAGGGCATATTGAAAAAGCTGAAATATTTATGATAAAGATAATGTTAATAATGATAATAATGTGTATTTATAAAGTGTCAGTTCCATCCCTGGTTAATCACGAGAGGAGTAGTTGGGTGGGTTTTGTGTTGCAGATCGGGGAGGAAGGGACCGGGTGTTCTTCGCAAGATTCAGTTCAATAATGAATCGTGACAATCGTGTGATGACTTTACCTGCTTGAAACATTGCATGTCACAATCGTGATGTTTAACGCCGCACTCAGCAATATTCCACCTGAGATTACAACGGCCTGCAAATAATCGGACGATGTAAGCATCATAAGACAATGGATTTCACAGTGAACTGTCTGACACACTGCATGAAACAATAAACTTTTAGAGACAATGCACGTCAAAATCATCTGAGACAATGTAAGTGGCAATCAATAACGAACTGCCTGAGATACTAAATGAGGCTCCAATTTCCCGAAACAAACTTATTTTACTCTTATTTCAAACTGTTCGACAATTTGAAACAGTTGAGTTTCTAACCCGGTCACATTTCTAAAACAAAAAGACAAAACAACTCATGTGACCTATCTACCAAACTAAAATTGTCTACTAAGTTTGAGTTTAACATCGATTTCAGTTTATTCTGGGAAATACCTTTTCTTGCGTTTTCTCATATTTGAGTAAAAA